AAATTGGCAGTAAAAGAACGTTTGACCGGCCAAAGAGGAGAAGTTTAAGAGCTAGAAAAATATCTCCATAATAAGCCTATTAATTTTGAATTTACAAATGTAAAGAGGAGCAAAAATAAAACTCTAATTTGGCCGATCTGAGTCATAAGGCCGAATGAGGTCATATACTGACTAGACTTAGCGGTTGGAGGTCCGGTTCAAATGCTCGGGAAGATAACGAGAATGGGACGAAAATAATATTACGCAATTACTCCAAAATTACGAACGACAAACAATAAATATAATCAAACGAGCTATATTATTATATTATTTCCCAATGATATAATTTAAGCACATTAAATCATTTAGGCAATTAGACTTTAAATATAAATACACATAATAATAATAATAGTAATAATAATAATAATAATAATAATAATAATACTAATAAAATAATCTAATTTATTCATAAACAAACGGGGCGTTACACGGACGTACCAAAACGTGTGAGCAATTCTCTCTCAAAGTCAGCCCATGTAATGACCTGTTGCCGCCTACGGTAGATCCTTGAGAGCCACTGCCACCATACGTTGGCCTCTCCATCCAAATAGAATGCTGCGTACCTCACTCGATCGTGGCCTTCGGCTTCATTCAGTTCGAAATATTGCGCAATTCGGTTGAGCCACGCCTCTGGATCACTACCCGTGAAGATGGACATTACGAATCTCGGCTTGTCGGGCTTCGGCCGTTCTCGATAGGTGGACGCCAGCGATCGCTGATCGAACTCCTCCTCGTGCTCGTAACCCTCACGTCGCCGGTCCTCGTCATGTTCGTGCGCGCATCGTCGCTCGCGTCGATCCTCGCGCCGTGGGGATGGTGTGCGTTCGGCATGTTCGACATGTTGGCGCAGTTCGCGCCTTGGGGGATCGTCGCGATGGTGTGGGGGTTGCTGTTGGATCACGCGCAAGACTTCCTCTAATCGCTGTTCGAGTCGTGTGACAACGGCGTTGGTGTTGTTTTGACTTTCGTCAAGCGATCCAAGCCTTTCTTCCATAACCTCGCTCATACTCCGCATCTGGATGTCAAGATTATCGATCTTATCCTTCATCTCCTTGTTGGCCATGGCTTTTCTTTCTTCTCTCCGCTCTTTGCTTTGTAGACTCGTGGTTGAAGATGATGATGATGATGATGAACGAAAATAGATATATCTTTTTTTTTTTTGATGAGGGGGACGAAAAAACGAAAAGAAAAAGAAAGGGAATGGGGTAGAAGAAAAACACACGATCAACACCTCTCAATGAAAGCACCAATGATGAGGATCGTGTGTTTCGATTGCCGATAAGCCGCTAACCTCCGCCTTGAATTGCCGATAGTGTTTCTCTAGCCACAACCACGCCTATTGAAATGATAAAATTGCAATAGTATTCTGGTGAAAAGACTAAACCAAAGTTGGAAGAACAAAGTTCTAGACTTCTATTGATTTCTTTGATGATTCAAAATAACATGGGGTAAGGGCCTTTATATAGGCACAAAATTATATCTAAGTCTAATCTACCTAGGGATCAAATAAAGCAATAAAATATTAAATGTCCTAATTATAATGCTAGTTGGAAACTAAATCTCTTGGTGTGCACTCCAAGCAATCCTCTCTCTCTCTTCTTCACACGCCAACCGCCTTTGCGCGCTGCCCGCACGTTGCCTAGTTGGTGCGGCACTAGGGCGCCGCCTCTTCGCGCGCGTGTTGCGGCCCCGCCGTGTGGCGCACGCCTACTCCGTCCGTGTCCTCAGCGTGCGCGTGCTCCTCCCCCTTTCCGCATTCCTCAAGGCATGCGGCATCCAGCTTCCCGCGTGCCTGTTCGTCATGCGCGCTCCGCGCGCCCCGCTCGTCAATCCCTACTGCGCGCGCGACTCCGCCAATCGCCCGCGTCCCGTCAGCGCTTGCGCCCATCGCTTCACGCGTACTGCTGCCGTGCGCTACGCGTACGCCCGTACTTGTCGCGCCCCATGCCCATCCGTGGTGTGCGCCCATCGTCCGTACTCCCGCGCGCTGGCCATCTTCGCTTGTCCTGCGCGCACTACTCTCCAGTGCGCGCACTTCTGCTGCTTATCGTGCTAACCTCTTACGTGCGTGGTAAGCGCGACTCGCGGCGTTCTTGAGTTGCCTAGCCACTTCCGCATCACGCGGGCAGCACGCGC